CCTAGTACATCAGGATGTATCAGATCTTGAAGCCTTTTCTGTTGGATCTCCTTTTTTTCTCCTCCTCCCTTTCCCCCCCCTTTACCCCTTTCCAACATTTAGGCACTAGTGGGTGTACAAAAATGAACAAGACAGAGATGCCAACCTCAAGGAACTTACTTGAAGTCTAGTGGGTATCACAGATAAATACTTCTAATGTAATGTGGAAAGTGCAAACAGTTATCTACAAAATATAGAGGGAGGTATTAGCGAAGGCTGCGTAGAGGAGGTGTCATTTAAGCAGAGCCTGAAAGATGGAATGGGGTTTGGGATAAAGGAAGGCTTTCCAGGCAGAGAAAGAGCAGTTACAAAGACACAGAGCAGTGAAAATGGTGTGTTCCTCCTGCTGTCCAGGCCTGTGAGGTGCCTCAAAACATGGGTTCAGCATCCAAAGCACTCCCAGTTTTTAGCCCTTGCATCTTGTTACCTACTTGGTCCCACAGAGACTTCACCAATGATCCCTTTTTTCCCTGTGCCCTTTCCCCACATCATTCAGTGAGATCAAAACTGTTAGAAATTGACACTAGTTTTAGATCCTTAAAATACACTTTTATTTTACTCTGATTTCCTTATCAAAGTTTACACCAGAATGGCCTTTCTCTTTTTAGAAGTAAGAGGCATTCTCTTTATGTATATACTTATTCCTGCTTTATCATATTAAGTGACTCTTCCAAAACTAGCACTACATATGGAAACATTTAAAGTCCAAAACATAGGCCGGATATGGTGGCTCATGCCTGTAATCCCAGCGCTTTGGAAGGCCAAGGGGGGAGGATCACTTGAGCCCAGGAATTTGAGACCAGCCTAGGCAACATAGCAAGACCCCATATCTGCAAAAAAGAAAAATCCAAAGCGCACAACTACTTAACCTCTCTAAAAATGTGAAAATGTAACAAGCACATCAGAATTGTATGCACTATAATATGCTCTCTTTGCCAGTTTATTCTGAAAAATAGGACTAAGCCTAACAGTAAATAGATTAAGCTTGGCCAAGAGTCTTTATAAAGTTAATGGTAGTCATGTGATTAAACAGTCAAATCATTCTCTACAGAGATAATTGTGTTATGCTATTTGGGGACTTAGGTATGCCTATGTAGATACATCAAAGATCTATTGAACTTTTTTCTTTGCTGTTGATTTGTCATGATTTTTTTTTAAAGAAATTAATTGAAAATTCAGAGCTCTCGAATTTCTAAAGAAATCTTAATGTTCCTTTATTTTTTCATTCTTAGCATTTAAAATATCATACAATGTGTTCCTGTTAAGTATTGAGTTATTATGCTGATGTTATTTAGTCAGTAATTACTTAACATACCTCTTGTCAAGAATTCCATTTAATCCTGAACCAGCTGCACTCTGTTTTAATAACCTTATTTCATAGAAATTTCCCATTACAGAGCATATGAAGTTGGGATCACATTTGTTAGACTAACTGCAACCTCTTGTATAATAAGTATGTGCTTGTGGGCTCCTGTGGGGCTTGCTTGCTCCTGGCACTCATCCCCAGGCACCATCCCTCCCTTGTAGAATAGAACTAACTAAAAGTAGGGGTGGGCAGCTGGATCTAACCTGTATAGTAGATTCCTCTGGACTTTTCAAAACTTTGTATGGAAAACTTTTTGACTTCTAAAAAAAAAAAAAAAAAGGAAAACCTGTTGTGGATAGTAAGGCTCTTAGTTTCTCATTGCTGCTGGTGTGTTCGTTTCTCATTGCTGCTGTAACAAATTGCCTCAAACTTGTGGCTTACAACAACACAGATATATTGTCTTATAGTTCTATAGGTCAGGTGTCCAAAATGGGACTCCCTGAGCTAAAATCAAGGTGTTGGCAGGACTGTGTTCTTTTCTGGAGGCTCTAAGGAAGGCCCATTGCCCTGCCCTTTCCAGCTTCTAGAGGCTGCCCACATTCCTTGGCTTCCTTTCCCCATCTGCAAAACCAGCAACATTGGAATGAGTCTTTCTCACACTGCCTTACTCTCATTCTCCCTCTGCCTCCTACTACCACATCTACCGAGCCTTGTGATTACATTGGGCCTACCCAGATAATCCAGGATAATCTCTCTACTTTAAGGCAGCCTTAACTCATCTGCTGCATTAATTCCCTGTTGTCATGTAACACCATGTAGTCACAGATTCCAGCGATTAGGAGTTGGACATCTTACAGGGGGATGGGACTGGGGAAGCTGGAAAACCATTATTCTGCCTACCATAGGAGGTATAATCCTTCTGGGATTATTCAGCACCCACCATTTATTCAATATTTAGTAAAAGTTTTTGAGGGTCTGCTTTGTGCCGGGAACTGTGCCTGACAAGCTCTGGGGAAAGAGAGAGGACTCTCTGCCCTCTCCGAGCTTGCAGTCTGGTGAAGGCAAATCCGTCTATGAACTAGTCATTGTTATCATGAAGGAGCAGGTGCTGAAATAGATGCACTTGTAGCATTTTATGCGGGAATGAGATCTGACTGCAGCTGGGAGTGTAGGGTGAGTATGAGGAGGAAAAGAGAATATTGAACGAGGAGGAAGAATTTGCCTGGGAGAGAATGATGGGTTGGGCATTCCAGGGAAAGGGAGAACCATATGAATATGCAAGTGAGGGGAAGGCCTGGGACTTGGAGGCTGAAGTGTTGCAGGATGGAGGCTGGAGTGGTGCAGGGTGTGCGGCAGGGACTTTCAAGGCTGAGTTATGAAGGGCCTTGTGTGCTGCATTTGGGAGTTTGGACTTTTTCCCATTGTTTAGACACTGAGATGACTCATTGGCTGCCCTTTGACAAATCAGTCTGCAGAGCTGCTTCCTTTAACTGCAGTGTATTTTGAAACCAGAATTCACCACTGTCAAGTATATTCTACCCACCCATTTCCCTTGCTTTGCTCATTTATACTGTTCACCTGGCCCCTGGAAGCAGTTGAGTTTTTGACCCCTGGTAGGCAGGGGAGGAGGTAAGGAGATGGAAACCATTGAAGGTTTTAAAACAGAAGAGTAGCTTGGTAAAATCTTGTATGTGATGCAATTAACCCCTTGCTTGCGTATCTCTTAATTTTTTTCCCCAACAGACTTAAAAGTCAGATTTCTGACTAGGCGCGGTGGCTCACGCCTGTAATCCCAGCACTTTGGGAGGCCGAGGCAGGCGGATCGCGAGGTCAGGAGATTGGGACCATCCCGGCTAACATGGTGAAACCCTGTCTCTATTAAAAATACAAAAAAAAATTAGCCGGGCATGGTGGCGTGTGCCTGTAGTCCCAGCTACTCCGGAGGCTGAGGCAGGAGAATGGCATGAACCCAGGAGGTGGAGCTTGCAGTGAGTCGAGATCGCGCCACTGCACTCCAGCCCTGGGTGACAGAGCAAGACTCTGTCTCATAAAAAGGAAAAAAAAAAAAAAAAAAAAAGTCAGATTTCCTGATGCAGCCTAAGTGGAAAGCAGGAACAGGGATTGTAAGGCAGGAAGCAGTGGTACACTGGGAAACGCTGAATTTGGACTTAGTCCTGAGCTTTTGAAACCAAGCTCACATACTAAACATGTAACCTTGGACTAGTCACTTAGCTTTTCCCAAGTGGTTAATGAGAACAGTAGGAATCATAGCACAGCAGGGTTGTTGGGAAGAGAAATAGCCCAAGTACGTGAAAGTGTTGAGCAATGTCAGGGATGGTGGACAGTCTCTCAGTCCTGATTTGCTATCTGTGAAATAAATGAATATTGTTACCATACTTAATTGTTTTTCTTTGATTTGTTTGCTTACAATGCGTTAGGATATTTTTCTGAATCACATTTATAATAAGAGTCTAGACTATGTGGGAAATTTAGCTGAACCCAAACTGACATATCTCCAGACAAACCATGGATGGTTTCTTTTGTGATCAGTGCTATTTTGTATTTAGGCATATATTCATTCCACAGTGTTTATTGATCACCCCTGTGCTGCTTCTTGTGCTTACAACTGTAGGGGAAGCTGAGCAGCTCCTCCATGCATAGTTCTGCCACTGACAAAGAAGTGTGTATTTACAAGTTAGGTCAGAGTACATGGCCATGAATAATTGAGTGCCAAGAGGGTAGTGTGCAGAAGTCCTTTTAAGATCAGAGCAAAGTGAAAATTAGCCTGGATTGGCCTTGACAGAAAAATTTCCATGGAAGAGACGAAAGTTCAGCAGACCTTGCAAGGCTGGGGCCACGTGTTTAAAACGAGTGCAAAGTGTGTGAGTCGGAAGCTGAAGTAAGATGTCGTCAGAGGACCAGCAGGCCACTGGCTAGTAGTCATTCTCCCTCTGGAAACATGTTTGTCCCCATTGACTGTGGTCTGAGCTTTCTTCCCACCACTTTTTATTTATTTGTGAATTGCTAGTTCCATGCACAGTACCTGACAGGTGCTTTAGAATAGGTTTTTTATTATACTAGAAACAGCCATCACAAACACAGTGCTTTGTTCCTGTACGTTTGAGTTCTTTTTCTTCATCCATGGAAATAGCCCAGAGGAAAGACAGATATTTGCTATGTGGGGATAAATTGTTACCCCTGAATCTTTGCTTTAACTCTGCTGCTCTGCATGGACCCTATTTACAAACCCAACAGCTTCAGCTTTAGAACTGTCCCTTAGGACACTTGGAAGAAGGAATACTTGCTGTACAATTTTAGCTATAAGAAAAGAAAAGGAATTAACCTTTATTGAATGCATGGTATGTAATTACTAGACATGCATTATCTCATTTCATCTTTAAGTTACTTAGAAATCACCTACTTGTAGTGTCATAGGTCCTAACAGTTAGAGGTAGAAGGAACCATCGATGAGAGACTGAGGCCCAGGAATGGTAACTAATTTGTGACTGTAGGAGAGTCTAAAACCAACGGTGCTCAGTTTGTAGCTTCAGAATCTTTCTGCAATTTGTATTTTATTCTCTATTGATTGAAAATTCATTACATGAGTGTAACATATCTATCTATATAAACTGTTGGCTTTCTTTTTTAATTTTAGATTTCTCACATTGGCAAACTGAGAGATTTTCTTCTGGAACACAGGAAAGATTATATTAATGCTTATAGGTAAGTACATATTTTTTTACTAGGACTTTGGTGACTGTGCTCTTTTCTATGCCTATGTTTCTTTTGTGCTTTTTGCCCTCACCTTTTTGTTAATAACTCAGAGTTGTAATGAGGAAGACCAGTTTGGCAGTGGAAAAATCTCCTCAAAGCAAAAGACTCTGCAGTACTGCATGTCCTCAAAGTCATGAAATCACAGTATATCTTCCAGTCTATTTGTATCTCTATATATACCATTATCTCCTGTCAAATGAAACTCACTCCATAAATACTTACAGAGCTGTATTTGAAGTTGGGGACACATGTATTTGTATGCCCTGAACCTGTGGAAGAACAAAGTTTTCAAGCCTCTGCTAAGCTATTTTTGCCCATCTCTTGCTGTCCCAGTCTGTGACACCAGTTTTGCTGTTTTGGTGACGTTCTCATGAGCACATTTCAGTCCTTACCCTCATGTCGCTGGGTCATGACTCCCTCACCAATTCCCAGTCCTTAGTCCTGATGGCCATTTTCTTCTTTTGTCCTTCCCCCGGGCTTTTGACACCTGCTAGAGGCAGCTACACACTCACTTTGGCATAGCCTTCATTTCTTAGGGCACTTTTGATGAATCCTTCTGTTCATCCCCTAATGTTACTCATGGTGACATTCCTTCTGGTGGCTAGCTCCAGTTTCTACTCAGTAGCCAGAGTCTTTTTTAAACTTTAATTGGATTATGTCGCCACCTGAGTAAACCCACCATGAATACCATGTTGCAATTAGGATTAATACCAGCCTCTACACTGCGGTCTCCTTGCTCCTGACCTAGCCCCTGGCCTCATTTCAAACACCGCCTTCCCACCATGGTGCTCCAGCCATGCCAGCCTTCCTTGAAGGTGCCATGCCCTTTCCTGGTGCAGGGCCTGGGCGTGTGCTGTTCCTTCTCTTCCCATGGTGGTTTCCTTTTCAAACTTAAAGGCTCAACTTAATACTCCCTCTTCCGAGAGGCCTTCTCTCACTACCCTTTATAAAATAGGTCACTTCTGTTAGTTTCTCCACCCTGTATATTTTCTTCAGTAACTAAACACAATTTGTAATTATTTAATAATTATAGTTTACGTCACCAGGCTGTACATGTCATGAGGTCAAGGACCTTGTCAGGTTTCCATCATGTTTCCGTAGTTCCTCACCCATATTTGGCACTCAGTAAATACTTGTTGAATGAATGATTTCCTCCTAGTCCTAAAGTCCATGACTAGCACAGCAGTTCTCAAGTGTGGTGATTTTGCACCCCAGGGGACATTTGCAATGTCTGGAGAAATTTTTGTTTGTCCCAAGAGGAGTGCTGCAAGCATTTAGTGGGTAGAGACCAGGAATGTGCAAAACTCTGGACAACTCTCCACAACAGGGACTTACCCAGCCCCAAACTGAGGAGGTGCTGACATTGAGATCCCCTGCTCCAGCTTGACCCCTCACTCCAGATTAAACTTCCTGGTTCGTCACAGGTTTATTGAATTCTAGATGCTTAGGGCACATCGGGGAATAAAATACAAGTATTCCTGCCCTCATGGCGCTTGCATTCTCGTGGGCTGGCAAAGACAAGCACTACGTGTATAGTACATTAGGTCATAGGTCCTACAGAAAGAAAAGGAAGAGTGGAACCAAGGTAACAAGGATCGGGAGTGCTGGGAAAGCTCGTGATTCTTACACAGAGTAGTCAGGACAGGCCCCATTGAGGTGGCATCAAAGCCTACTCCTCTGTGAAGTTTGGAACCTCTGATAGGATCTCTCAGTTCCCTCCTCATCTCATCGCGTTCTTTCCACCTGTCATAGAGAAACCCCTCTCTTTGTTTTTAAGGATACTGTCCTACATGTGTATAAACTAAAGGGAAGAAAAGAGCCAGATGACCAAAAATAGCTGGGAATCATGAGTGCAGCGGTGCCTGAGAAGCAGTGCGAGCGCATCCTTTGTCTCATCCCTCACACTGCCTCTCAGGTACTGCTGTATTCATGATTCCTGGCCGGTTTTCATCATCTGGCTCTCTTCTTCCCTTTAGTTTATACATGTGGTGCGAGCGCATCCTTTGTCTCATCCCTCACACCGCCTCCCAGGTACTGCTGTATTCATGATTCCCAGCTATTTTTGGTCATCTGGTTCTTCCTTTTAGCTTGTACGTTTGACCTTGCTTGCTCCTTAAGCCACAGGCACTGTCACTTCATTTCACGTCAGTGCCAAACACAGGGAGAAAGTCTAATCAGGGATCAGCCAACTTTCTGTAAGAGCCAGATAGTATAGTTTAGGCTCTGTGGGCCACGTATGGTTTCTGTTGCATATTGTTTTGTTTTGTTTTTTTACAACCTTTAAAAACCTTTAACCATTCTTAGTTCTCAGACCACAGGGAGCCATGCCTGCAGGGTAGACTTGGGCTACAGACTGCAGTTGACGTGACCTCTGCTTCCTCACCTTTTACTCCACGCCAACCATATGGCTTGGTTTCCATCATTTTTCTGAAATTTTTCTCCTAATGCTCCTCTGTGACTTCCTAATCACCAAATCCAGTGGCTTTTCCTTAAGGGGAATATAAATAGACTTGTATGGTACACACTCTGGTGTGTCTACCTTCTTTTACTCCACATGTTTTTGAAGTTCTTGCATGTTGTGTATACCAGTAGTTTGTTCCTTTTTGTTGCTTTATTATTTGTAATATTCCATTGTGTGAAGTTACCACAGTTTGCTTATCCATTTATCTAATAGAGAATACTGGACTGTTTCCACTTTGAGACTAGTAGGAATAAAGCCTTTGTGAGTAGCATCTTCCACAAGTCTCTTTGTGGACATACTGATTTATTTCCTTTGAATAAATACCTAAGGGTGAAATTAGTGGGTCATACAAATGGTAGGTGCATGCTTAGCATTAAAATAAACTACCAAGCAGTTTCCCAAAGTGGTTTTTCATTCCTTGTAGCAATGCATGAGAGTTATAATTGCTGCCTATCCTTGCCAGCATATGGTGTAAATAGGCTTTTCGATTTTAACCGTGATAATGTAACCGAGCACAGGCTCAGCTGCTCACTGCTTGCAAAGCCAATAACAAGAACAAAAAGAAGGTGACTTTATTTCCAGAGCAAGCGGTGGGAAGGCAGGAGCGGTGCTGAGTACTAGGTCTGTGTGTCTCTTTCTGCTGGTACCTGTCATCTCAGGCTGGCGACATGTCAGCAATGGCCAGGTTGTAGACTACCCGCCTTGAGGTAATCTCTGGAATTTTGCAGTTAGATCTCCATGCTCAGTCTATCTCAAGTTAGCCCCTGGAACTTCCAGGTAAGCACATAATTAGATACAGTTAGGTAAATATGCATGTGTGGTGTTTCAGAGAAAGTATGTTTCAAGGCTGTATTCTAAGACTAAGGAGGAAAAAAAGGGTTTCTGCAGTAAGCCTTAGGATTACATCTTGAGACTAGGGAGAAAAGAGAAAAAGGAATAAAAAGTTTTAAAGTGTGCTTTCAGGCTATCCTGTCCAATTCCGGTGATAAATGTGAAATGGCAAGTCACTGTACTTGAAGCATGTCCTTCTCTAATGAGAATGGTGTTAAGTGCCTTGATGGTTTTTTCTCAGCTCTTCTACTTTGCCACAGTTTTTGATCCTGTTGACCATCATCAGTTTCTTGAAATTTCCTATTTCCTTGACTTCCACTGCAGTATTTTTTGGCTTCTCTCACCACTCGTTTTTGCCTCTTTGTCCTTCATCTATCCCCTAAGAACTCCAGGGCTCTGTTTCAGGCCCTTTTCTTTTATTTGTCTCTACTTTGCTTAGGAAAAAAAGTTCTACCTACCTAGCTACCCTCCCACCCATCCCCCACCCATGTCCACCTTATGTTTCCATCTTGAATGTTTATTCTGTATTAGGTACTCTGATAAGCACCAATTAGTCATATTTTATCTCATTTGGTCCTCACATCAACCCTGTGAGGGAGGTACTGCTGTTAAGCCTGTGTGGCAGGCAGGCAATGAAAGCGTAGTGATGACATAACCTGAAGATCACAGCTGGTGAGCCTCTGGCCAGGGCAGGCCATGGAATCCTTGCCCTTCCCCACCACACATTCTTACTACCTACTGTGGCTTCCTCTCTTGCCAGTATGCCAGTAATGAAACCACCTTTGCAAAGGTTGTAACAGTGAGAAAATTATGACAGCAAACGAGATCTAACCTAATCAACTCTGTCTTGCCTTTAACCTCCCAGATGCCCTTGATCATTACCGGTCGTAGGCCAAACTGACTTTGGGAGGAAGTTAATTTATAGTTTTAACTTTGAAACAAACACGATAACAGCCCCTCCTGGAAACAAACCCCCTTCTTGCTTGAGAACAAGGCCACTTTTGTAAAACCAACAAATTACCCACGAGATTAGAAATTATGGCTCAGGAGTCATGTAGCCAGAAGCCGGAAGACCACTAACCTCCCCAATTGCTCCTATAGATAGCATTACTGCTGTGAAACCTAAGATTGATGTTTGAGATATTTTCAGACCCCACATTTTGATGGATCAGCTGGCACCATGCAGACCAGGACACTGACTCATCTGGTCTTATGGCCCCCACCCAAAAAATGACTCTGTGCAAGAGGACAGCTTCAACTCCCTAGGATTTCATCCTTAATCTGACCAATCAGCATTCCCCATTCCCTAGCCCCCTGCCCACCAAACTAGCGTTAAAAACCCAGCCTCCGAATCTTCAGGGAGGCTGATTTGAGTAATAATAAAACCCCAGTCTCCCTTTTAGACAGCTCTATGTATATTTAACTCTTTCTCTATTGTAGTTCCCCTGTCTTGATAAATCGGCTCTATCTGGGCAGTGGGCAAGATGAACCTGTCAGGTGATTACAGTTGTTCCAAAATGCATGTCATTAGCACAGGCTTCTCCCAGTCCCCATTGCCACTGTCCTGCTCGCCCAGCACCTGTGAGCAGCACCGTTCTCATGCATGCTGCCCACTCCTCCCATCCGCTCTAGAGTGCTTCAGTACAGCCTTTGTCAC